CAGTCAGTGCAGTTCCAAGTTGATCGCTCCCGACACCACTGTAGTCGGACTTGTCGGTGCACGGGTGTGAGGGGTAGGCATCGTAACGGTCGGCGAGCTCTTAGATTCCGCTCTCTCAGTCGCCTGTTGATGGTCATTTTGGACACTTGTGTGCCGGTCACACGTTGGATGGTAGTTAACGTGGATTCCGGTGCTGCGACAGCCATTCTGAAATTGCACTGTCCTTCCGTTCTGTTGTTGCCCATGGTCGACCGCTGCCGTCCTGACGTTGCATACTTCCGTTGTTGACCCACTTTTGCCAACATCGCCTAATATCCGCATCATTTCGACACAGATGTCGCGCGATTAGTCGGTTAGACCAACCAGCCTCTTTCAATCCAATGGCACGACCAATTTCAAAATCTGACATATGTTCATAATAAGCACGAATCTTTCGGCGAGGCATTGATACAGTAGAAATAGGCGTACTGCTAAAATATTAACGGAAATTCTGAAAATCAGCTCGTGCCGCGCCGAATATTGAGTCTAGAATGCTCGTGCTGGATGCGCAGTTCAGATGCGCTGGAACTCTTGCTTTGCATAAATCCGCCACCAAATTTCAATCATTTGCATGTTTGGTCGAAGCCTCTTTGTATACGTATTTTCATATAAATCGGACAACTGCTTCTTGATGCGTCGATTTTTTTGTTATAGAGTATAAAACATACTATAGTATAGTACATACATTCAATTACAGCCCTCTCAACTTCTTTATTGGGCGCGCGAAGGGCTTTCCAGAAACAAATTTCTTCAAGCGTGGGAACAGATGGAAGTCTGAGGGTGCCGAATCAGTAGAATAGGGGAGGGTGGCAGAGAAAATCGTACTTTAAATCCCACAGTTTTTCAATTTCCAACACACTTTTGTGAGCAGGGGCGTTGACCTGGTGAAAGATGTTTTTTTTTATATATATCTCAAACCAGGCCTCTTCTCTCGAATTTTCAAATCCAGCTGTTTAAGAAGTTCAAAATAAAATTCACCTGTAATAGTTCTTTCCTTTCCAAGATAATCAATTAACAGGATCATTCTGGCATCCCAAAACACAATGACCATTGGCGCTGATCCACCGGCTTCCATCCACTGCTTCGACTGCTGTTTGGTTTCTGGCGTGTAGTGGTGGACCAAAGTCTCATCAATGGTGATAAATCGATCTGAACTCTCTTGAATCGGTCCAAGCATTGCTGCGAATGTCGTTTGGTCATTTGCTTCTGGTATGCATTCAGTAAATGCGGCACCCACCTTGCCAAGAGCTTTCGCATCCTTAATTCTTCGTGCAACATGTTCCGCGCCCTTTCTTCCGATATTCCCATGTCCTCAGCTATCTCTCACACCTTTATTCGCCAATCATCCAACACGATGTTGGGTACCTTTTTGATAGTTTCCGGTGTGATTGCAGTTTTTGACCGTCCTTAACGTGAATTATCTTTCACGTTTAAATTCAGCTGCCCACATTTTAATGGTTTAAATTAAGGGAGTAGAGTTCCCGTAAACTTTTGTCAGCTTCGAAGTAATTTCTTTAGGGATAATCCATCTAAAACTAAGAACTTAATAACTGAACGATATTCCAATTTATCAATTTCAACGAAACACGTGCAAGACATATACTGCAAAGATTCGTTTACAAAACTACTTGAACAAACTTGTTAAAACTTGTCCTACGAACTAATGACATATGCACGCAAAGAGGAAACGTAATATTTTGGCGAGTTGAATGCCATCACTTGAAAACTTGTCACCTTTTCACCCTTGTGTATATATATATATATATGTCATAATATATGCTCTTCCAGAAATAATAAAGTAAACCTACAGTCAACGAGAGAGAGACGTCGATAGAAGGCAACTAAGTTACGGCCATTTTGAACCACTGGCCACATGCCGGAGGGGGCTTTTCTTGGAACCCTCAGGACCTATTTTTGGACAGTTGGGGGGTGGTTGGCGACAAACGGTCGTTCCGCAGTGGCAGCCGCTAGCGCTCCCTCTCTCTCTCGTTTGCTGGGTCCCATCTTCCAAACTTGTGGTTTCCTTATTTCTCTCTCCCCACATTATCACTATATTGCCAAATATATGTCATAATTTGTAAATAGCTGTATGCAACCCCGACCCAATATGTATGCAATGTATGTTTCAAAGACTTAATAAAGAATAAGGTAACTGGAGGTTAGAACGCCTTAGAGAAACGAGGCCTAGAAAATAGGCTTAGAAGTCAGCAGCACCATTAGCAAAATTACAGCCGATTTTATGATCGCGGAAATAATAAAAGTTGAGTTCAACGACACAGTATTTCCTGGTCGTGTCAGAACAAGTCCAAAAGACAAAGAAATGAGCAAGGACCAATGAGGGAACACTTTCCCAAAGGTCAACCAATAGAAAAAGGCCACGTCACAGCTTTCCTCCAATGGGAAAGGAGATAGGTCTTCGTGTTAAATCGAGAAGCAAGGATTGAAGGTTGTTCACTCGCTCCCACCGAGACAGCACCTAAAGTTGTTCACTCGCTCCCACCGAGACAGCACCTAAAGTTGTTCACTCGCTCCCACCGAGACAGCACCTAAAGTCTTCGACTCGCTCCCACCGAGGTAACATCTGCTCTCGAGACCTCCCCCGTTCATCCCATAGCTAAGTCAATCACCGCCATGTGAATCAATAGGCCACTAATCAAATCCGCTCCATCCTCTCAAGCCTTTCTTTCCTCCAACCAGTTGCCTTTAATTTTCAACCCATCAAGTGTCCTGGCTTATTTCCCTTGTGTGTAAACCTTCTTACTCAGCCACCACGACTGCGTCACCACTTCAACAATCATCAATCCCAAGAGTAAGGTTTCCCAGCTTCGCCCGGGTTTTACCCGAGTAAAGGTTTGTCTAACGAATCTCTCGATAAAGTGAACATTTTTTCGCGGTCCCTTGAAAATACTCGATAAGTTGAATAAAATCAATATTAATTGGTTCCCTCGGTAATTGGAAGTTAAAGGAATAGTATCTTGCCTTGGAATTGTATCATTATTCTTGTCTCAAATAAATTGCCGTGTCATCCTGAATTTTGTCTTTCCTAATTTTCTACATTACAAAATCATCGTATCATCATGATAATATTTAGAGCAGATTGTTGAATTATAACAGATAAATTAGAATATTTATCTTGATTATTTTTAGGCGAAAAGTTATTTCAAAAATTTTATTTGCTAGAAACCTTCCCAGTACTATACTAAATAACTTCCCAAAGTTTCATGTTCCAATGAGTGGTTTGGTCAGGCAAAAAGGACAGACACACATACATTCATTTTTATATATATACTAGCGGACGTACCCGGCTTCGCCCGAGGTTTTACCCGAGTAAAGGTTTGTCTAACGAACATTTGTTAAAACAATTCTCTAAAAACTTATTTAAAAAAAAAAGATATATTTTGATAATTTGAAACTCGTAAATTTGAATCTCTCGATAAAGTGAACATTTTTTCCCGGTCCCTGTGTGCCGTGTCATCCTGAATTTTGTCTTTCCTAATTTTCTACATTAGAAAATCATAGTTTTATCTAGTGAACATTTTTCCCGGTCCCTTGAAAAATACTCGATAAGTTGAATAAAATCAATATAAATTGGTTCCCTCGGTAATTGGAAGTTAAAGGAATAGTATCTTCGCCTTGGAATTGTATCATTATTCTTGTCTCAAATAAATTGCCGTGTCATCCTGAGATAATCTTACTCTTTTGATAAATAATATTTAAGATAACAAACTTAGTGATAAGAAAACTTGTTATCATCGTCACAATGGGGGCGCTGCTTGCGAGTTAAATCTACAAATCTGCAAATAACTCTAAGGATATTCAAGATATTCATGAAATTATTTTTCAAAAACCTTCCCGGTGATATACCTAATAATATCCCAAAATTTCACAGCGATTGGATGTATGGTTTTTGAATCTATAGAGTACAGACAGACTGACAGACAGACATTCAATTATATATATATAGAGATATATAGATAAAATATAATGCGGCTTATGAGTGTAGAACGATGTTTGACAATTATACCGCAAATGTTTCTTTTGAACGAAAAATCTAAATTTATTTTAATGAAAAATAACGATTATTTCTATCCTTAGGAATGAAGTATGAAAGGATGAATTGTGAAGAGTAATGATAAACGGAAAAATAAAGTGTCCAGGGATGGGAATCGAACCCACAGTGGTCCGCTTACCGGGCAGATGCCATGCCCACTAAGATACCCTGGACATATTTTTCCGTTCGTAAATATTATATTGCCACGTGGAAAATTAGGGAAGACAAACTTCGGGATGACATAGCAATTTATTTAGGGCAAGAACAAACTATGAATGATATTTAAAAAGGCTAAGCAATATGGGAAGTATATAGAGTAGCAAAATATAAACATCAAAAATGATACTCTGTTGAAAAAATAATAATAATACTTTGCTACATAGCTCCTTCCCTATGGGAGCTGTGACCCACAGCTTGCAATTATTGTAGTTACTGACATGGTTCTTACGTGCTTCTGCCAAGGATTCCATCGAAGTCTTGGACTTTGTCCCTAAAACCTTTGCGCCCTTTTTTTTTGCGGCATGAAGAGCGGCTTTGTCGTCGTATCGTCTATAGGGACATCGTCATCTTGGAAGAAAGTCTTGGCTTTGACACGGCGGTGGAATCCTGGAGCCAGTCTCTGAAAATGTAGATCACAGCACCCATGGCCTCTAGGTCTTCTCGGCGGTCTTCAGTTTGTCTTCCCTAATTTACCCAGCATCTCCACCAAAATGCCACGTGGAAAATTAGGGAAGACAAAAACTTCAGGAGGAGACAAAATTTATTTAAGGCAAGGACAAACTATGAATGGTAAACAAAATATAAGCCACGAGGGATATTTACAGAGTAGCAAAATATAAACATAAAAATGACCACTCTGTCAATAAAAATAATAAAATTAATAAATACTTTGTTACAATATAATAAAGGCTCCAGGGTAGCCTAGTGGACATGGCATTTTCCCGGTAAACCGGACTACTGTGGGTTCGATTCCCATCCCTGGACACTTTATTTTTCCGTTTATTATTACTCTTCACAATTCATCCTTTCATAATTAATTCCTAAGGATAGAAATAATCGTTATTTCTCCCTAAACTAAATTTATATTTTTCGTTCTAAAGAAAAATTTTCGGTATAATTGTCAAGCATCGTTCTATATATCCCTATATATAGTCACGACCGTCATGGGCCGGTTCTGTCACGGATGCGCGCGCATCATCATTATGATCATTATCATTATCTAATGATAATAATAATAATAATAATTATTATTATTATTATATTATTATTATCCATATATATAGTCACGACCGTCATGGGCCAGTTCTGTCACGGATGCGCGCGCACAGGGAGGTCACGTGCTCGCCGGCAGCCAACGGGCGCGCGCCGCCGGCATTACGTCATAGATTATAAACACAAGGTAATAAGGCCAAATATAAAAATAGTGTGTGATAAGGCACAATTTGGATTATCTACTTATATAATTGCCTTATTCTCTCTGTGTGAAGTTCACTGTGTGAAGTTCACGGATAGATTTTGGTAAGAATGGATAAAATAAAAAAAGTGTCAAGGGATGGGAATCGAACCCACGACCTTCCGCTTACCGGGCAGATGCCATGACCACTAGGCTACCCTGGACATATTTTTCCGTTCACATTTTTATTTTTATATTTTCAAGACACACACAGTTTGGGGCGGGACGTTTCACAAGAGAGACATCCACGGCGCCAATTTATAATTGTAACGAATAGTTTTTAATTAAAACATTTTTAAAATATATACGCACTCGGGTAAAACCCGGGCGTTGCCCGGGCCATTCGTCTAGTATATATATATCATCCACTCTTTTCTTTTGTGCTCTTGTGAAAACAGGACTTTGTAACTGAATCAAAAAGTCTCTCCAATCTAGCTTATTTGTTTTGATATATTCTGGGCAAACCTTTCCTGAAAAATGCAATTATTCGTGTATTTTTCATTCTTCCTTCGAGTAGTTTACCTTTTAAATTATGTCTTTGAAACAGTGTTACGTTTCTATGTTTCATATTTATTTATTTTTTTCTCACTTTCAATTAATGTTTTGAAAATAAAATTATACTGAACAGAAGGATCTGACAAAATATAGGGCTAAAGGTTGATACAGATCACATGCAAAGTTTCATACAGATTGATTCAGTGTGTAGCTTAGGATTTATCGAGAAACAAATGGATTAACATATTTTTATTATTCTGAAGAAGAAAAACAATATGTGCTTTATTTATAAAATAAGAAGTATCATTTCATTATATTGTAACGTAGAAAATTAGGAAAAACAAACTTCAGGATGACATGGCAATTTATTTAAGGCAAGCACAAAGTCAACATTTAAAAGATACAAGATAAGCAATGAGGCAAGATTACAGAGTATCAAAATATAAATAATATAAATATAAAAATATAAATAATATAAATTTCAAAAAAATAATAATTAATAATCTGTATATAAAATATAACAAATATTTCGCTACAATATACTTAGATTTTATATGTGATTTTAGACATTATTATAGGCAATTTAATAATGATTGCCGATTTACATGTATAATTATAACTATTAAAAAGAAGAAATGTCTAATTAAAGGCATTAGTAAAGAAAAAATTCCATGAGCAATTAGGCAATAATTATCTTTTTTTCAATTTCTCTGGCACCATTAACATCTAAAAAAAGTGATCGTAGCATCAAAACTCAGGTAATTGTGTTTTTAGGACTTCATCAAAGATTTGTGTATTTTTAAAGGCCAAATATGTCCTTCATACACACAGAGAACAAAACCCTAACCCTATACCGGTATTTCAAAATGAAATGGTCTCTTTATATTTATCATTTGCCTAGCATTTTCTATCAAAGGTATGTGTGGCCTTTCTCGACAAACTTGTTTCTATACAATACAGTTGAGTCATAATTTGTAACTTTGTTGATTTTAAAATCTAATTCTCAATCCACTGAAATTAATTAGCTGGATGGCTCTAGCATCAATCTAAAATTATTTAACATCAGGGTATTTGTTTTTTGAAAAAAAAAATCGAGTTAGACTATTTTTGTTTAAAAAAATGAATGCGAAAGTAGATTATTTCTTAAAATCAACGCCTTTTGCAATTTTTAAGTATGAACAAACGGGCTTCACGCTATAATTTTCTACAATTTATATAAATTATAGTGTGAAGCCCGTATGTTTACACTTAAAAATTGCAAAAGGTGTCGATCTTAAGAAATAATCTGCTTTCTCATTTATTTTACAACAAATACTCTAATATTAAATAACTTTATATTGATGTTAGACATCCAGCCATTTCAGTGAATTGAGCCAGAATTAGATTTTAATAGCAACAAAGTAACAAATTATAACCCAACTCTATTGCAAAGAAACAAATTTGTTGAGAAAGGCCTCACGTACCTTTGATAGAAAATGCTAGGCAAATGATAAATATACAGAGACCATTTCATTTTTAAATACCAGTATAGGGTTAGGGATTTGTTCTCTGCAATGGAAATGTAGGACATATTTGGCCTTTAAAATACACAAATCTTTTTGATGAAGTTCTAAAAACACAATTACCTGAGTTTTGATGCTATGATCATGATCATATTTCTGTTCAACAATTTGTTTCTAAATAGATTAAACCATACGTCTGAAAAGCAGGATAACTTTAAATTATTTTAAACTAGCGGACGTACCCGGCTTCGCCCGGGTTTTACCCGAGTAAAGGTTTGTCTAACGAATCTCTCGATAAAGTGAACATTTTTTCCGGTCCCTTGAAAAATACACGATAAGTTGAATAAAATCAATATTAATTGGTTCCCTCGGTAATTGGAAGTTAAAGGAATAGTATCCCTTAGTAATAGTATGCCTTGGAATTGTATCATTATTCTTGTCTCAAATAAATTGCCGTGTCATCCTGAATTTTGTCTTTCCTAATTTTCTACATTACAAAATCATCGTATCATCATGATAATATTTAGAGCAGATTGTTGAATTATAACAGATAAATTAGAATATTTATCTTGATTATTTTAAAGCGAAAAGTTATTTCAAAATTTTATTTGCTAGAAACCTTCCTAGTACTATACTAAATAACTTCCCAAAGTTTCATGGCGTTCCAATGAGTGGTTTGGTCAGGCATAAAGGACAGACAGACACACACACACATACATACATTCATTTTATATATATAGATATAAATTTGAATTCGCTTTATCGCCTCATTTTGTTGTTGTTGTTATTTATATACTCAGTATTTTTTCAAAATATAATTTGCAGGGGCGTAGAGAAAACCTGTATTGGTTAAAATATGAGTATATATATTCACGGGTTGTGTGCCAACACTGGAACAAAGGAAAGAATGAGGTATGTATCTGGTAACCTTAAATCTTATTGTTATGCTATTTTAATAGTTCTATTGTTGAATGAGTGATTCGTTTAAAATTTGTTATCGCAACTAGCTATTATATTAGCGCCAAAGTACATCTTTACTCTTCTTTCTTTCTAAAAAATAAATATAAATTGGAGCTATTATATGGGTTCAAGTATTTTATATTCATTCTCTTTTTTTGAAAAATATTTATTTTTAATCTCTGGTACAACTATTGTACCTATATAGGATAACAAAAATTGGAAGATTCTTATCAATTTATATTAAAACGTCATATTCAACTCCCTATCTATTGTTTTTTTTTATATTATAAACTTAAAATAACTGTAAAGATATATTTTATTAGCAATGATTGAGAGTCACTTTATATTTCTAATTGAAATAACCAATTATGAAGTTCCTTTTATAACGATATAGCGCGTTCAACGAATGAATTTTGAAGGTCAGATAGTCGGATAATTAATGTGAGGAATGTTAGAACAGAAAATATTTTGTTACTACATTTATTATTTAAATACTTATTGTTGTTATAAAATTATTCTACGATTTCTGTTAAAATTAGGAAAAATATGCATTATAATATTTTTAAAACATATTTATATAAATCTGAAAATTTTATGAATATATATTGAGTAATAATAATTTCTTTGAAAAAAGAATTTTTCAATTCCAAGGCGATCTGAAATAGAAATTTCTACATATGCTTTGAAGTTATGTTGGAAAAATGAAGTCTTAGCCGCCCAAGGGTGTCCATTTCAAACCCTAGCACACTGGAAGACTGATATCGTATTTATATGATCAGACAAAATAAAGCGAAAGTTTTATTTTAGTCTATGTGTAACATTTTGGCTGCGGGTGTGAAACTAATAAAAGCTCGGAGGACATTTTTCACCCTTGATCAAACACAGAAAGAAACTGCAGAATACCGAGTTTTGAAATGTTCTTGAGTTTTCTCTCTCTCTCTCTCTCTATTACTACAAGATTATATGATTAAATGTGTCCAGAGTACCATCTGGAGAACCGAGAAGTTCATCTTCTCAGCCTACCATCAACAACATATTGTTACGTCGTACCCAGACGCTATTCGTGTACTATGTCTAATCAGTATGCCACAAAGATACACATGTGAGTTCGAAGGGATTGCAGTTAAAGTTAGCGCTTTATTGTATCTCACTTAACAGAAGGAATACAACAGTGGGACTTGCCTTCGACCTCCCCGTCAGAAGAATCCTTGGCGCCGTGAATGTCCTCTTGTGAAGCGTTCCGCTCCACACTATACACATGCAGCCTGGCCCACACCGCCTTGTAGGTCGCTCCGATGTCAGTCTCTCCTGGCACCGCCTTGTAGGATCATCCACACGCCCGGAGGCAAGTCACTACGTCTTCTCCTTGCCGCAGATGTAACCAGACTCTGTCCTCCCCTATACAGGAATGCTGTTTTTAGCGCCTGCCACATGGCAAAGGGGGCAGCTAGAGTCCACCCCTCTCTCCCCACTTGTCCCCTCTTGTCATTCACGTTACAATACCAAACAACTGCAGCAGCATCCATCCCCTGGATATTTTTTGATTAATCAGACGACATTTGATTATTTGGAGT